TGAGAAACCTGTGACTCCTGAGGAAGGCGACGACCAAACCAAACAAGAAAATGCAGAATTTCAGGAATCTTCTGATGTGGACTGAATGTAAATTCAAGTCGCGCCCCGCACACCAGATGCGATCACATAAATCTACCGCCTGAAAAGCAGAATACCCCAAGTAAAGTCCAACTATTCCTCCAATGCTACAGATCAGACGGATGAGGTCATAAGAGCGATAATGCTGGTCAACGTGCATGTATGTAGCGAAACTACTTGTGTTACTCTTTCTGTGTAATGCTTCACACGACTTGATGCACGAATGAAAGTGTCGAGAGGAAGCTACCATGAGCGTCTCCGATGGCACAACGTAGTCACGAGAAGGGATCACGAAACCTGGAGCCTTGCATGGCGGCAGATCCTCAACGCTGATGAACGGAATAGCACTCTTGACTTCCTTTGCCGACCCTTCCAGCAAGCACTGAATCTGGCAGTCCATAAGCGGTGCTTCTTGCGGGCGGCAGTCAAGGGCTCGGCTAGCAAGGCGACGGGCGAGGGCTGTGATGAGGTCATCGGCCTCGTCTAACGGCGCTCCTAAGGACACTGATGTTAACACAGGTTGTGACAAGAACATTTTAAGCTCTTGGAGACAGTGGGTAGACGTTGCCAAACACGCCGTCAACATTCCTATATGTTTCAGTAGTTTTCCTGCGTGGCTGAAATCCCCCTTTTGGTTGGCAAATCCAATTCGGACACCGAGATTCCATACATGCAATATCGATACGCCAAGGAATAACCCCAAACTCCCACCAATGTCAGAGAAGAGCTGAGCTAATGGATATGTTTCCAGCTCCTTCTCTTCCCTCAGATATGTTGTAGATGCCTCTAAAACAACCACAAATTCCGGACCCCATGTCTCAGATATGACGTGTTTATATCTCCTTTGGAAGCAACTGTGAGGACAACTCTTTAGCTGTTTTTCGAGCTCAAATAGTTCTTGAATAAGACTCGGAGAGCTGCATGTTTTGTTTATGGGGTCTTGAAAGGCTGAAGCTCGAACTGGGAGGCAACCGAGTTTACGAAGTGCTTGGGACCTCTGGCGCTTGTGATAGCACGCACTGTGAGCGTAAGCAGAGGGCACGCAATTCCCCTTTACAAGTGAGCTTTCTATTTGTTGAGATTGGCTTCTTAGGTTTGGAATGTTTTCGAGTCGCTTCAAAACGTGGCTTCCTTCAAAGAGCTGGTTAGAAAAGTCAAAGGCGTCTTTTTGCGTTAAGGCTTCGAAGGCGGACTTAGTGTGAAAGTAGACAAAGGCGGCTTTAAGAGCAGACCTCCTGTATAACACATAATTCTCGAAGCCACAAGTTGAATTACATTTTTTCTGAACATCATCACACTGGGAAGGTAAGCCATTGTAAATCACTAATTGCTCCTGTTTATTGGCCCAAGAACAACGTTTAACGCTAGGGATATTGTGCAGACCAATCACCACAGTAGTTTCCCCCGGCGGAGGAATGAAGGTGAAGCACGGGCCCAGAGGCGAGTACGACCTTCGCCAGTGTGGAGCCTCGGTAGCGTCTTCTTTGTAAATTACAGAAACATTTCCAAACATCACCATTTGAACTATCTGGCCGAATCGCCACTGAGCTTCTTGCCAGAGCTGCGCCGTCGCCAGGCTCTCGTTCAGGCCAGCGAGTCCGAAAAGAGCCTCCCCAACCTGCTCGTAATTCCCGGAAACATTCGCTCCAAGGCGCCTGAGCACCGTGGGTTCGAAGGCAGGATGGGGACACACGGTGACGGGGGGCAGCAGGAAGTTCGGGTCCGCCTCGATCGTGACGGAGAAGACGGTGGGGCGATCGAGAAAGACCTCGACGTTGAGCTCGACCTGCCACACGAAGAGCGCTGCAGCAATCGCCGTCACCAAGACCTCCCAGACTCTCCCGCGGTGGCATGGCGGCATCGCACGAGATATCCATGTCCGCCCCATGCTGTTGGGAACAGATGATTATTGTATTTCATTTGATGGGCTTCGGGTTCCTAAGTGTTGAAGATATGTGATAAACTATACAGTAGGTGAGTGTGTCTGGCAGGGAGAAAGGGAAAGAGTAGAGAGGAGAGAAGAGAGAAAAAGAGAAAGAGGAGAGAAAAAGAGACGAAGAGAGAGAGAGAGAGAGAGAGAGAGAGAGAGAGAGAGAGAGAGAGAGAGAGAGAGAGAGAGAGAGAGAGAGAGAGAGAGAGAGAGAGAGAGAGAGAGATGGGGG